CAAATGAAAATTCTAAACTCAGAACATATTCAAAACAAAGAATAATTTGGAGCCTTATTTACTTAATTTAAACGGTGAAAATAGAAAAATGTTCACTAAATTCAGGGTTAGCGATCACCAATAAATAACAGACTTTGTCAATTTTTTAATAACTGCATTGAAGATGAGATCCATTTCCTTTTAGATTGTGAAAAATATGAACAGCAGAGATCTCAACTGTTACATAAAATTAAAGTCCTGGCTGACAATAACATTTCTTGTTTCACATATTTACTTTCACATCCAGATAAATTAGTTCAACAAGAGATATCAAACTTTATTTTAGCTGCGACCAAAATTAGAGATTAGATTTCTTTAATAATTTATTTGTGCATTTATTTTTATACATATTTATTTATTTGTGAATTTTAAGTACATTCATTCAAGTTATTTTCAAAATATTGTCTTGTTAACAAAACCTCTTTATTGTTGCAAACACCCTATGTAACCTACTCTTTTTTTACACGGGAACAATAAAGTTCATTCATTCATTCATTCATTCATTCATTCATATGGGCTTGAGAAGACGTCAATCTTCTATAACCTATTGCCTATAGCTATATTTCACACATGAATAAAGTTATTATTATGATAAATTTTCATATTATTCTGCACATTCATGAAAACAGCTAACACTCAGGAATTTCCTGTAGTTTTAAAAGATGAGATATCTGAATATTTTTTTAGTTCGAAATAGCTCAATGCTATGGAAAAACCAAAAATTCATAGTTTTGAAGGAAAGAAGTTTGGGTACCAGATTCTTTTTCATTTAGGCCAGACTTTTTTTTATTCCTTGTTTCTCAAGTTTTTATAAGGCAATTGTTTTTAGTAGGGCGCAAAAAAAATAAAATTAATTCTATTTTTCCATTAGATTTGTGCGATTCTCAAAGAATTGAAAGTGAGATCATTGATCAGAGAAGAAATGAAATAAAATTTTGTTCCATGTATAACCTTGTTCCTCATCTGCGCGAGACTTCGGTACTTTGATCATGATACTCCCACGAAAATGCTTCTTGGGTTGTTATGTGGCAGGCAGAAAAAAAATGAAGATAAAAATAATTTTTTTTCAGCAATTTTTTGCACTTGCAAATCGGCGGGCGCGAGAAATTACGCTGAAATAAAATTTTATTTTTATTTCATTTCCGGCTCCTGCTCATTCAGCGGGTTCGCGAATCAAGGGATAATAAAAGTCTGGCCTTATTTGATGAAACATTTTGCTCAGGATAATAACACTACACTAGATATAGCCCTTCTTCAAAGCCTTATTGTACATAAATATCAAAAAATAGATAAATTGTAAAAATATAACTACTACGGAAACTGCAAGAAGATAAATAACTTTCTCTAATTTTATTTTTCAGATGAAAACTAAACACAAACACAATAACGCTACAGTCGGCGAATTTCACATCAACAGCATAGTTATGTGTCGATATCAAACTTGAAATGGCACGACGACTAACACATTAAATTGAGGTGGTCAATGTGACTACGTGCATTTGATGTGGTCCATAGTAATATATACACATAATATGTTGTCTATTTGCATAATATTTGAATGCATACAGTCGTGATGACCGCCTCCCTTCCAGTAATTACTAAAAAGTTCAATCTCCTCTCAATTCAGAATAGCACGTTTAATTGTTAAATACTTACCATATCTGTTATTCTGTTTTTATGACCAATAAATTTTCGCACAATCCTTCTGACATCAATATCGACAATAATTAAAGAAAAATCATCATTTGCCACAGCGAGCATGGAACTAAAGTAAATAAAAACAATAAATAAATATTTAATTACATGTTGATCATGCATTTTTAAATTCTACTGGTTGCAGTTGCTCGCAAAATAATGAAAACGTCTATCTCCCTATAAGTTTTATTTGGAACACTGCAACATTTTTTTGCAAGATTCTTAGCGGTGTTTGGCAGAAACATCAAAAATACCAGTAAAATATTATAGAAGTGTACAAATTCAAAATTAAATTGTATGTTTGTGATCACTTGATAATTCATTGCATTCAAGTTTAGTATGCTCCTACGATGTAAATATTCACTATTTTAGTATTATTTCATGCAGTTACTTCACTCTGAGCTCTGATGGAAACCGGTTTTCACAAAATCAACAGTCCACAGCTTTACTTTGAATATGGATAACAACTTCTCATTATATTCAGCAATATTTTTAACAATAATTTGAATTTTCACACTTAACATAACACAGTAGTTGAAAAATTAAAAAAATCATAGTTAAACTGTAAATAGCTCCCGTGTGATCAGAGCATGTATTATAAAGGTACAGGCTTTGCCTAATAAGTGAATGTAATTGCATGTAGGTCAATCCATCAATAAAATTGATCAAGATGTCTGAGAATCTATGACATACTGTATATGGAAACACATGATCTTAATATGGGCATTTTGAAAAACATGCAAGGACACTATACTTGTAAACAAAGGGCACTAATGAGGCATTCTATGATGAGGTATTTCTAGAGGTCGGGGTTTGTCTCGTCTGCAGTTGAATAATTTTTGCTTT